TGATTTTCAATCCACCACTTTTTCTCAATCCTCTGCCCCCACCTCACTTGTACCTAAACTCTTAATGTGCCGGACCACCGCTTTACTTGGTTCTTCTTCGATACTGCCCTGATATTCTCCAGGCCAACGATCCCACTTGCCTATTCTCTTTGCATGGGTCTATCTGATGGCTTTTAAATTTTATTATTTAGAGAAACAAAGAAAAGAAGGTATAGATTATTTTCATAGCCTCCTATTTCCACAGATCACATTCTTTTAGAAGGATCCTACAAATACGAAAACATTATTTTTAAAAAATGTATTGATGTAATTTTCATATACTTATCTTTTATTGTTTTAAAACTTAAAAAATGAGTTATTTATCATGTTCAGTTTTGAGTCATTTTATTTCTTCAAAAACTACTTGAAAATAAAATATGGTACATCAAGTGAAAAATAAAAAATAAATGGGCTAATAATCCAAACCCTGTTAAAAAGTTTACTAAAATAATCTGTAGATTATTGAGAAATAAACTAACAATCACATTTCACATTTTCCTCTAAGCAAAATTTTTAAAAAGAACTCCTTTGTCTACTGCTGTGGAATTAAGATGATGCAAATCTAGATACAGTAAAAGTTCAATCATCAAGAAAATGCTTCAAAAGAGATTATGCCCAAAACATATTAAAAGACATTAAGTTAAACAGATTATTAAGTGTCAAGCTTATATATTAGAACTTTCCCTATAAAATCATTTTCTTTATTTTTTATTTAAATGACATTTTAAAAAACAAACTATTTTTAAACATTTAAATACCCCTAGGGGTATTTGAGGAATGAAGTCCTACTTCTGATTATAGAGAAGTAGCTCATATCCTTCTTTCTGTTGGCACCACTGCCCTATACAGCCATGATTCCAGCCAAAATATATAGGGCATTTGGTTTCAGACATTGGACAACAGTCAGCCAAGGACTGTGATCCTTATGAGACAGGACAATGAAAGGATATCAGGGCCAGGGATTTAGCTCAGCGGTTTGGTGGTCTGCCTTGCAAGCACAAGGACCCCAGTTCAATCCCCAGTAACCCCCCACCAAAAAAAGAAAGGTTATCAGTGTATGCTACAGCTCTCTGGTGAGGATGGGGCATTTTTTACACTGTCCTTCAGGGATGTAAATAAAGGCAAGTGATAGGTTGAGAAGGGTGGAAGCAGACTGGAGTTTGGGCTCGCAGAAGAGGCAGGCACCAGAGATGAGTGAATTGGGCAGCAGCAGAGAGTATAAGGGTATGAGGATTAGAGTATACGGCTTAGGGATGCCCAGTAGTTGGCTCTGAGCTCATCTTGTACACAAATCAGTTAATGCAAATCCATTCTATGTGAGTAGAAGTGCTTTGAACTAAGCAAAGCTGATGACAAAATCGATCTATTCTATGTGCAGTATGTTGTACCATGCACGGAGCATACAGGGACTTTGGTACACAGAGATTCAAAAGTTCTATGGAGAAATTAAAAGAAGCCTGTTATTGTGCTTTTTAACGGTTTAGGACTGCATATTCTTAATGAGCATAATAAGGCTGGAACCAAGGTACACGCATTCTCTGAGTGCCCTTCCAGCCAATAATCTTCAAGTATTCACTTTATTTATTTAATAGGAATAGAAGAAAGTAAAAATTACATACCTTAATATGTGGAAAATAGGAAATTTATTTCACATCCTCTTAAAAGAACTAAATTAAATTCCTTACAGTGTAGACAAAGCAGACCACTTGTAGTCTACTAAGCAGCTATCTGCCAGACAATGATTGTGTTTCAGAATTTCTGATTGCCAATGTCTCTGCCTACGAATTGGCTGTCCTCAGGGTTTGAGACAAGTCCAGTGCTTGTATCAGTCAAGCATCTTGGCTAATACACAATGTAAAAATATTCTTTAAAAATAGGATATTTATCCTATTTGGCAGGAACCTAACCATTTCACACCTTCCCAGTTAAATAAGGAGTTATATGTGGAGTATTTATGTAGGATTACAGATCTAACTTCACCAATGCCAAGCATTCCCTACTGCCCGATGACCAGGGTTCTTCAAGGTTTAACTGCTGTGAATAAGCCAATCAAAACACTGAAATTATTATACATTACAAAAACTTCCAAGAGTTTGCAGAACATAACATAAGGAATTTTCACTTTATAACTACCTATCATTTGATTAAAATATCATTAGCCAGGACTCTTGGAGATTTTTAGGCATGTTTACATAGTATTTCAAAACATCTTCCATCACATTTAAAAGCAGTTTAATTTTATGCTCTTAAATCACTTAGAAATAAAGCTAATGTCAGTTTAAGTAATTTTTGGAATATACATTGCATTCAATATGTGCTTTAAAGCATCTCAAAATATTAGAGATAAACCAAGTAACTAAAAAAATAAATAAATTTTATAGAATTAGAAGAAACAGGTATCTCAATACCAATGTGTACTGTTTTAATAAACCTTCATGTATTCTCTTTCAAGTGTCTCACTCCAAAAAATTCCTTAAGAACATTCCTAACTTACAATATCCACAAAGGGGGCATATTAGCAGATCCTGAATATTGCCAAAACTAAAGTAGGTGTCTCCTACTCCAGGGTCTCAACACAACAAATCACAACAAAGCACACATAAGAAAATCAAAGCTGATTATTTACATTTCTGATTAATGAAGATTTTTAGTTTTGTTGTTTCTTAAAATTTAGCACAGAACTTACAACTTTAGCTATTGTTTCTTGCTGCTTCATAAATACAGGTTCTTAAGAACCTCCTCTGACTTTCTAAATCAGTGATGAGAACCACTGTGTCAGTTCTGAAAGCTTTGAAAAGAAAGATCAATAACGTTCACTTCACGGGTGGTATTTCTTCACTCGTTTTCTAGCATAAGGAGAGAGAAGCTCCAAGGTAGGCTGCTGAGATTTCCCAATTTATGAAGTATACATAATTCTACTCTCACAGCCAAGTTGTATCATGATCAAAATTGCTGACTAAAGATCCTGCTGTCCCTTCCTCGTTTTAGAAAAGAACTTACTATACATTTTTCTCTGTTCAATTGTATAAAGTACACAACAACCCTTGAAAATTATTTTCCCGTGCAATCCAAAGTGGAGACTATGTAATATGTATTCAGTAAACTACGAAGAAAATGATTTTATTGTGTGTTTTAGTGAGATCTAAAGCTTTTATGAGACAATTTTGCCATCATTTAAAAGTCTTCAGAGCAGAATTAGCTCGTGAGCATTATGGCTGGCACTCCAAAAATATCAAGTTGAGATTACTTCCTAACTATACAGAAAGTTTACATATATTCCAAATTCTATTATTGTCACTTGGAAAGGATCTTGGGATTTATAAAATGAGTTAAATGAGAACAGCATCTATTAAAAACAATTCATGTATATTTCTCTGGCTAATTATGTTTTATATTCTAGGAGAGCAGCCAGCAGATATAAATTCCAAATGTATTTATTTTGATTCTTGTGATGCAATTAATGTGTTGTAAAGGATTATATATATTCTTTCTCCACTCTGTGTGTGTGTGTGTGTGTGTGTGTGTGTGTTCTCTAAAATGGAATTGTGTAGAGTTTATAATCATTATAAGAAGGGCATTTTGGTAACTCGAGCAATTCTATTTTGCTGCCACCTTTAACGGGGACAAGATATCCTTTGCTGAAGGAAATAAAAAGGCAGAAACAAAAGTCAAGACTTTGTGCACCCTTTCAAAGAGCTTCATTTAAAATAATGGTAGTGCCTTACCAGAAACTATAATGTTAACTCTTAAAGAGTTGGGCAGAGAAACTTCTGAAATATCGCAACAATGGCTACTGGAAACCCGTCCTCCCCAGAGAAAAAATCCGTTCCACACCTTTGTTCTCCTCTCCCTTTGTGTGTGTGTGTGTGTGTGTGTGTGTGTGTGTGTGTGTGCGTGTGTTTTCCCGTCAGATCTGTCGCGTCTCTTCAGTTCCAGAGAAGCTACTCCCTTCTCAGCCATCTTCAAAGCTCTCGCTTTCTTTTCTCCCCACCGAGTGTCCTCCAAGAACAGCTCCAGCGGCTTCCGTGGAGCGCTGGGGCGCGCTTCCCCTCCCACGTATTCTTCCTGCCCTACTCGGCGCAGCTGGAACGTTGGACGGGGTGGGGGGACAGGAGCGCCTGCGCGTCAGATGGCACTCCCTGCCCCACCCGCCCCACCCTATCCCGCGCGCGCCCTGGCAACCCGCAGGTAGCTTTTCTGGTGTCAGGTTCCCGTCTCCGGTTCTTACGTTTCTGCTCCTCCCACTCTTTTTTTCTCATCTTGTGCTTTTGCCATCAGTTCTTTGATGGCGAAAGACTATATCTCAGAGCCATAGTCTCCTTCCTGTAAATATTTGTGTGTTTTTTCCAGAACCTCTGTCCTCCCCTCTTCAGACCATCACAGATGGGGTCTGAAATGCCAAAGTCTTTCCTTCCATCCAGAGACCAATGCCAGTCTTCCCGTGTTTTAATTTCTTTAAACACGCCCGCACCTACCCAAGCCTATTCCTTGCCATCAGCTTTTTTTCTGAGTTAACCATATTCCTTTCCACTGCTGAGCACCTCCTCCACTTTTTCGGTTTACTACCTCCTACATTGGGGGAAAAAAACACGCAAGATATTGTGAATTCCCGGAAAAAAGTGTGTGTGTACAAGACCATCAGAGTGTGTACATCTGTGCGTATGGTCTATCTCAGCCTGTCCGGGTCCTGCACGTGTGGCTACAAGGTGCAGGATAGTGAGATGGCTCGAAACTGCCCTGCCAGGCTGGGCTCTTCTGCGCTCACCTGTCCGCGTCCCAGCAGCGAGCGAGGTGCCCGCCGGGCCGCGTTCCAGGACACCTGGGCCGGACAGAGCAAATGTAGCCGAATCGGGTCACCGGGCGCCCTCTTCCGCTCTGGTATCCCTCCTTTCCTCGAGGGTGTTCTAGTATGGTTTCGGTACCTCTTCCCCCAAAGACAGCGGGACCCTCCTTTTCCTTACCTCAAACAGAGGACCGATCTTGTTCTTCTCCAGGTAAGCCTGGATCCGGGTCTGCTGACGAGACGCCATGCAGAGAGAGACCGGACCGCGGACAGAGTGCGTGCAGCCCGCGCGACGGTGCGCCTCCGCGGGGAACCACCCGCCCTGGACCCCAACTGAGGCCGGACAGGCGGCCCTGAGCCTGGGCTCCCCGGACGCGTCTGGCTCGGTCCCCGCCGCTGGGGTGGGCAGAGACCCCTGGAGCCGCCAGCTCCTGGAGAGCAGAAATCCGGAAACCTGAGCGCGGCACCGCCAACTCAGTCAACTCCGAGGAGAAGGGAGAACTCATTCATCGCGTTCTCCTCGCGCCCACCCGCCGGGCTCTCCGCAGCGCCGGCGCCCAGAGGAAATTTGAAGCAGAGTCGAGTCTCTCCTCTGGGCGGCAGCAGCGGGAATCAGGGGGCGGGAGACGAGAGGCTGCTGTGCAGCTCCTCCTGGAGCTGCGCTGGGGCGGGGGTGCTCAGGGCGAGAGCAAGCGCGCTCCAGTGCGCGCCACTGGAGGTGTCTCAGCTCTAGGGTTCCAGGAACAAACCGCCCGGGCTTCTCCAGAGGCTGTGTTCACCCTACCAGCCGCTCCCTAAAGACTCAGTGCGCGCCACTGGAGGTGTCTCAGCTCTAGGGTTCCAGGAACAAACCGCCCGGGCTTCTCCCCGAGGCTGTGTTCACCCTACCAGCCGCTCCCTAAAGAGCGCACTCGGAAAGCCAATGATGACGGTGCTTCTTTCAAAGTGCACATAAATCTGGTGTTTGTTGGTTACTCCTTGGCAGGTGCAGATGCAGTTCGCAAGGAGAGCTTCCCCACTGCCCCATCAGCGCCTTTCCTTGCCACCCTACGCTCTGCGAACACTAGCTCAGGGTCAGAGAGGAGCCTAAATAGATGCGATACCGCGAAAACGAAATTGCTTTTCTTTAACAAAAAGCAAACAACAAAAAGTCTAGGTTGGCCTGGAGTGACTCCATGGGGGAATGCAGGTGGAGTGAGAAGTGGCTAAAAAGTCTCAAAGGCTGGGAGCAAGCCTTTGTAACTTGACAGGGAGAACAGATAAAAGGCAACTGTCCCTCCCCTTCCAAGTTTGCCTTTGAAATCCGTGCCTTAAATTATGCGCACACATCTCTAGTTACATCTTATATGCTACTCTTTCACTTAATGTTTTCTCTAACCCTGAGCTCCTTAAATTTAGCCAGTACCTTTCCTACCTTGTATGGATTTCCCAAGTGAAGATCTACCGACACATGAGCGGTTTCTTCACTGGTCTTTTTCCTGTGAAGTAAAACAACTTTCTGGGCTATTAACCAAGAAGTGTTGTCCAAACTAAAAGATTTATACTAATAAATATGAATGCCCACAATAATGGGAATTTTTTTCCTTAAAGCAGAATGCAATGGTATAGATTTTCTTTCTAGACTGTATCTGAATTTCTTGCTCATGATTCTTGTACCGGTGTCCAAGCTATTTTCTCTATTTTAAATGATACGTGACAATATGCGGCAGTTAAGAATGGGGTGTTCAAGAAAGTATTTTTAAATCCATTTAATGATTCACATGTAAGAAATCTGCCAGAGGAGGAACCATCACCGGTAACCTGGACATGATTTGGAGTGCAAAGATATCCAAGCTGTTACTTTTAAAGTCAGACTCGGATGATCTACTCAATGAGAGTAAAATAGCATTGAGATGCCCAAAGTTTTCACATATTTTCCATTGTAATTTAAAGGTAAACTTGTTTCTATAATTTCAGTAAGTTCGGGAGAAATTTAACATGCAAGAGTGAATACCCACATTTCTAATTGCTATAAGATATATGTAGAGCCATAAGGAAAATCATCTATGATCCAGCTGAAAAGCTGGTATTTTTGATACCACATTGTACTAGAAAATCAAGGTGGCACTACTTTGAAAACAAGTATTCCTCCTCTAGAAGGCACAAGGTGGATCCTTCTTTAAATCAAATAATACAATGATAAAATTTTCACCATATGAAAGCACTTCTTTAAGGGTCTTGAAAAGACAAAATTTAAGCTTGTGAAATATTTATTTATTTATTAAAGAAACATCAAAATATAGATAACCATTTCTGTATTTAAAGCACTAAACATCTCAAGTTTGCATAATTAAAATTCTAAAATATTTTTAAAGTCTTTCAATGCTACATCAAATGCCACTTCCCAAAAACATTTTCTTGGTTATTTCCACTCATTCTGACATCCTTGCTATGATAAGTACTGTTGCACAACCTCTCCATGGCAGACATCATCTTAGGGCTGAAAGTGAAAGACTTTGTCATCTGGTGTTTGATTTTTTTGAGACAGTTGGTTTATGTACAAATAATGGCAGTGTTGTGCTAATACAGGTATATAAAATATGCTGTGAAGGTGCTGATGATGTAATAACTACTTATGCCTGGTATCCACAAGGAGTCCCTCATAAAGGTGATATTGTTTGAGTGAAGTGTTGGAGGAAGACTAAAATCTTAAACATTTCTGGATTGGAAAGAGGGGGATAAAGTCTCAGTCCTTGACATTAAAAATGACAGTGTGCAAAGGTGGTCTATGCAACAGGTGGGTGGTTGGAAAGACATAGGAAATACATAAAGGAGGATCATCATATGAGGTTAAAAATGTAAGCAAAGTTTTATTCGTTGAAAGTCCTAAATGCCTGGGTAAGACGTGGTTTATATTTTGTGGGTGATGAGAAGTGACTCTTTGGGTCACAGAATCAATAGCAAATGCTAAGGTTCAGCATTAGGAGTAGGATGTAAGGATGAAGAAGATGAGATGTATTCAAGACATGTGTAAGGATTAACCTATTGATTAACTGTATGAAGAATGAGTTTGGAAGAGGAAATCAAAGATGACAGTGAGTTCTGGAATGAAGTTTACTTATTGGAGTTACCCCATTTATAATTATTTGGGACAAGTCTTAATTCAAGTTTTCTAACTCTAAAATTGAAGCTATTTCTGTTCTCTACCCTGTGGCCTGATAATTATTCAAGCATTGAGTATACAGATATTAACATCTCTTTTTGGAAAGGGTTACATCTCATGACCTGGTGAATGTTAATCATCACCCCATCGAATGAGCTAACTTTTGGTAGATTAATTCAAATCCAGCTATGTTTTTTCAGACTAAACTTTTATGGTATTTAAATGCTTTTTTATTCAGTTAATTACATACATATTTTTATTTTTTCAAACTATAAATTCTAAAATCACAAGTAGTAGTTTAAATTTTTCTTATAGTTTATGGTGTGTGATACAATATATTCTCATGCAGCAGATACTTTATAATCATATCTTTAAATTCCTATTGCTGTGTGTTTTCATATTGTGTATTGTGTCATCCCTTTAAGATTGAAAAGTAACCATGGTTTTGGATTGTATTTACGTTTTTTCTGTACACATGACCTAGTATCTTTGTGATTCCTCTTTTTTTTTTTGGCTTGGGTACTGTATGAAAAGACCATTTTCCATAAGATTGTTTGACCTCATTGTGCTACAAGAGTGCCTGTCAGCATAATTTACAACTATACAGAATCCAATTTATAGAATGTACTAAAGCCCTTGTCTAACTTCATTTGTAAGACACCTTGCACAGCTCCTTAAATGATTTTCGAAAGATGAGAGAACAATGGTAAAGCCCAGTTGACCCAATTAAGAAGTATTAGCAATGTAGTTCCTTGAAATTAATTTAATAATGAAGTCAGAGAGCAGAGATGTTCTATACAAGTTCCTTGAATTTAAACTAACTCTGAAGCCTACTTCTTCCCTTCGTCTATCTCTTTTACTGCATTGTTTTGTACCAAACAGAAGCCAATACCCTCCCAAAGAATTCAGCAATATGAGAAGTCTTGTACTAAAGCAGGGTGGAGGGGGGTAATGGTCTTTATTTCTGATCCAGTGCCTCTCAAATAATGTAAACAAGCACAATCACAGCACTTGGCATGTGCAAAATGCAGTCATAAGCACTTTAAACACCATAATAACTCATTTAATCTTCAGAAAAATGTCATGAAGTAAGAGCTACTATTATCCTCATTTTTCCAGTAGAGAAAACCAAGGTCACAGCAAGTAAGTGCAGAGTCCGCATTTGAACCCTGCCAGTGTATTAAATACCCAAAGCCCTGACTAACCATGTCCCAGGAGCCACTTCTGCCTCCTTTGAATTTGCTCAGGCCCAGAGTCATTTCAGTGATGAATTTGCCTTCCTAGTGTGTTAATATGAGACAGGAAGTAGCCTAGGTGTCAGAGATTAGGGTAATTTTCTAGCCCCATGCTAAATTAATTGTCTCTTGGGAATTTGCATAATGCCAAATCAGTCACATTAGGACTGACTGCTTACAACTATGCTCAATACTCTGATTTTACTACAACTACTCAATTTAGAACTCAAATGATGCTGCCAGCTTGTGACATCTGCCATTTGACCTTATCCAGTAGTATTTCATTATCTTTAATGTCCAAATTTAAATATTAGGTTTTAATATTTAATTTTAATATGTGTGATATTTATAAGAATATCTAAAATTCCTTACTTTATATGAATAACATTTTTTTTTGTAGTGGTGGTGGTATTAGGGATTGAACCCAGCGCCTTCACACTAAGTTACATTCTCGGCTTTTATTTTTAAGTACTAGGGAATGAAACAAGGGTTTTTATACCAAGCTACATTCCTAGCCCTATTTTACACTTTAATTTGAAACCAGGTCACTCCCAGCAGGGCTCCAATTTGTGATCTTCCTGTCTCAGTCTACCAGAGTGCTAGGATTACAGGCATGCACTAACAGGCCCACCTTCAGTAGCTTTTCATAACATGTTTATTTACATTAACTCATGAAGTCTTTAAAGGAAACCCAGACTTTATAGATACTGTCGTTATTAATTATCAATGAACTTTGTTAATCCTAACAGGATTTTGCTTATCATTTCTAAAGTGACTTTGTCTTAATTTTTTATCTTCATAAAAGAATCTTTGCTAGGAAGGGAAAAATACTTTAAACAAAGAAAAATGTTATGGAGTATGGGAACATAACATTGAGTTTATTGAAAGGAAGAAGAAAACAAGAAATACTAAGGGAACAAAAGATAATGCTGAGAGGCAAAACAGGTTTAGCTGGTGTGCACCCCGGGGAGCTAGGCATTCTGCCTAGGACAGGATGTACTTGTGCTCCAGTCTGACTATCAAGGCATAAGCAACATGAGACCTATTTCTCAAACCCACATCTCTGTAAATGCCAGCTAATTCTCAGTCATAATGAAGCTCATCACAGCAGCCCTAGCAGAAAAGGTTAAAGGTACTTTTAACAGAATTAGTGAAACTGTCATTGCCAGAGAGAACAGTAAAAATGTAAAAGCATGACTTAGATCTCTTAAGAAACACTGTGCATATTATAGTAGCTAAGGTAGGGTCAACAAATTCTCTCTTTCCAGAGCAGATGTTGGGTGTGGGTAATACTCTTCTGCATTCAGACAGCTTTGGTCCCGGGGGACAGAGAATGTTGTGATGCCTAAGGATCAGCA